CTAAGTAATACTTAGTTATAGCCAAAAATTTCTGTATTTGTAAGATATCACATATAATTAGTAACAATAGATATTTATAATATGAAGGGGATGGTATCACTGTATTTTTTGAAGTCAAAATTAATATATTCAAAAATGTCATAAAAACTGTTGGCTTTTAGTAATTTAATCAAAACGTGTGGAATTTATGATTGCTTAGTTGACGTATTTGTAAAGGTAATAAATTGAACAGTTTAATACCAAAACCATCAATTGAATTAAAAGTAGTATTGAGCTTAAAAGTCGATCCTTTGATAGTTCTATTTCTTGTGACATAGTGGGAATCAGACATGGAAGATAAATTAAAGTACTGGGGATTATTTTTATAAAGAGAAGTGTAATAAGTAGGATGCCATACACCACTAGTTTATTTGCTAATTTAAAAAGTCTATGCTAACTGTTTCATACGTATAACAAATATACTCGTCACTACACAAAATTCTGCCACACGAGTCCAATCCAATTATTACAAAGTATTAAATTTTGCAATTGTTTTCCACCTCGCCAGCTCCCCGTCTATTATCTGCCTTCGCTCGCACACCTTTAAAGCGGCCGCGTGTTTATTTCAAGAAATGATCGTGTGTGCGTGCGTGTCGGGTGCGTATCGGGTGCGTGTGTGTGCGTTCGGTACGGTTATGATGATGGCGTTGCCGTTGCCGTGTTCAGTCAGAGGAATCCGTTCACGGAGGCGGATCGCGAAGGAAATTCGACGAAATTTAGAAATTTAGATACGAAACACTACTCAAATTGTTGATAATAGACATTTAAGTAATAAGTAAATAATTATTAATTTATATTATATTTGTGGTTGCAAATTGGACGACATAACTGTCAAATTGTTGCAAAGTGTTACGGTGTTGGAAAAAATGTGTCTGTTGTGTTTTGTGGTTAGAATTTGGTGTTGAATAGTGCTAAAATTAGGATTTATGTGGTAAATTTATTTAATAATATTAAAATCAAAATTCACTAAAAATGGTACGTTGTGAAAAGTATTTTCAACATTTAAATTGTTTTTTAATTAATTTAATTTAATAAAACTAGATAGTGGTTCGTGAGGGTTGAACAAGTGCTTTTTGGTGTAAAAAATTTACACGTGTTTTTTCGAGTTAAAATAAATTTAAATTAAATTTAATTAAACTATTGAAAATTATTTTTAGCATAATTTTAATCAAAATATAAATAAATACAACTTTTTTCATAATATAATTATTAATTTAGTTCAAAACTTTCATGATTTGTTTTACAGAATCGACGCAATCTTGCCAAAATATTTCCAAATTTATTTAATTTAATTTATTTAAAACTTGAATAAATTTGTTATTAGGGATCGTTCAAGTATTACGTAAGCAGATTTATTACAATTATTTACCCCCCCCCCCCCATCCCCCTTGTCAGCAAAAGTAAGCAAAGGTCTTACCCCCTACCCCCATGCTTACGTAAACATTTTGCAATTAATGTAAAAAAATAAAAATACTACCTATGACGTAATCATCATCCAGACTCCCCTGCCCCCCATGTCAACCCAAAATAAGCAAATCAACAACCCCCCGCCCTCCTATAGTTCTTACGTAATACTTGAACGGCCCCTTAGTCCTAAAAATCTTCTGATTAGAATTTTGGTAAGAATGTTTTTTTGGTTAAA